AATAAATAAATAAATAAATAAATAAATAAATAAATAAATCAATCTCAGGGGAGAAAAAGGAAAAGAAAATCAGCACAATAAATTCTAGGCTGTGGTTACCTCCAACATACTATATTCTATAGTCTGCAAGTAATGAGTATTCCAGAAAGTCATTTAGAAGTCATTTAGAATTCAGAACACATTTCCCCATTGAAACAAGGTTACAATTGGTAGTTAGATTCCCAGGCCAGAAACAAATGCTTCTTTAACCCCTAATATGAGTAAACTGCAGTATCAGTAGTGGATAGAACATAATTACCTTTTATAACACTTTCCGTGGGAAACACAGCAAGTTCCACAAAGAACACTGGAAATAGAGTTCTTATCTCAGCTATAAATTCAGGGGTTTTCTCTCTTGGTACAGTTATCTCATTTGATAACTCATTTCCAGATTACCTTTATAGCCTCTTTAATGTGGAAGACTAACATAAGTGAAAAATACTGATGTGAAAATAAGTGAATGGAGGCTAAAGTAAAAAATTATCCTACTGTTAACTAATTTTTGAAGCTTTTTTTAGGATAACTGAAAAATGTCAGAATTAACTGGAATTTCTGATAAGAGTGATTTCAAGCACTTAAGAAAAGTTCGACTTACATCTTTCCTTTGTGCCCTCAGAAATCCAGGACAAATTAGATCAGATGGTTTTCTTCTGGGAAGATATCAAAGCTCGGGCTGAAGAGCGAGAAATTAAGTTCCTAGATGTCCTTGAGCTGGCAGAAAAGTTCTGGTACGACATGGCAGCGCTTCTGACCACCATCAGGGACACCCAGGACATCGTCCATGACCTGGAAAGCCCAGGCATCGACCCATCCATCATCAAACAGCAGGTTGAAGCTGCTGAGGTCAGGAAACAAAGCCCTGCCCCGTGTGCGTGCGCGCGTGTGTGTCTTCTAGGGAGCACTTTACCCTAGTAGGGTAACTCCTTGCCCAGGCTGAGTGCCTTAAGTTTCCTTTTTAAGTTGAATAGACCTTTTTTCCCACTTGAAAAAAATAGGCTTTTTCCACTGCTCATTATAGTACATAGTTTTACTCTTGTGTAGATTCTGCATGACCACCCGTTCTGAGAACCATTTCATTGTGCAAACGTACTTCACACATCAGTTTTAAACTTAACAATTCCAATTAGTAGAATGTGCTTAGAAGATCCAGTTTTGATATTACTCCTAAATTTAGTCCTTACTATGACATATATTGTTTCATTTCTCTAATAAATTTCCCTAATGTAGAAAAATAAAAGATAGAAAAGAAATTGTTACCTCATCTTCAAGAGATAACAGTCGTTACATTGATATAACCTTTTTCTAATCTTTTGGGGTAACCAAGTTACTACCAAGTGTATTTCTCACCTAATTTTACCTGTTTGGCAAAAATCAACCTAGCCTTCTTGATGTTGCCTTTAATGTTTTATTTCAATCATTGTCTCTCTCCCTACCCATCATTATCAATTCATGAACTACTTTTTAGGATCTGTCACAAAAGTGACTTGTAAGTTTATTCAAGATTACAAAGCCTGGCACTCCTATTAGTTTCTCAGCTATTAAACTCGTGGCACGTACTTTACCCTTGTTACAGATTCTCTGTAGTCTGCTTTTATAGTATTCTTGGAGGCAGGAAGGAATGAACCGCTGCTAAATTATTGAAATGATTGCACCTTTCCCAGGCTTGTATGTGTGTATAAAAAATATGGTTGGATGGATGGATGGACAGATAATTACATAGAGAAATTTATTTGATATATATGGAAAATAACCAGAATCTGAAGCTTCACTGTTTAGATAAGGGAAATATTGAGAACAGTGAAGCATTGAGAAGTTGACAGTTCTGTTTAGCATCTGTTCTTGGTGAGGGTATGAATTACATTTGCAAAGTTTGGGAAGTACTGTTCTGAGTTCTGTTTTGGCTTATGATCTGTTCATTTCCACGTAGACAATTAAGGAAGAGACAGATGGTCTGCATGAGGAATTGGAGTTTATTCGAATCCTTGGAGCAGATTTGATTTTTGCCTGTGGAGAAACCGAGAAGCCTGAAGTGAAGAAGAGCATTGATGAGGTGAGGAGAAGTGGACAGCAGTCCAGCTAAGATGTCAGTGGGCCCCACTGAGAGTGGTATTAACTGACTGACTGTTTCTACCCTAGATGAATAATGCCTGGGAGAACTTAAACAAAACATGGAAAGAGAGGCTAGACAAGCTCGAGGATGCCATGCAAGCCGCTGTGCAGTACCAGGACACGCTTCAGGTGAGCTGGCAGGAGGTGGCAGCACCCCTGGCCCCCATGAATAGAGGTTTTGTGTTCCCCTTGTCATGTTCTAAATCCAGCACAAAGTGGATCGCCTGTATAGGACTGCAGCATTTTCAAACAGACACAGTGCCGTTTCCACATTTCTAGCCCAAGCTTCCCACTCCTAGTGAGAAAAGTATTGACAAATCCAAGTTTCTACTCTTCCAGCCGTGTCTTTCATCTCTGCCTGCTCATTATACTTACCCTTGCGGTGGCTCGGTGGTGAGGCTCACCTTACTGTGAAAGTTGTTGTTTGCTGCAGGTTCCACTCCCAGATTTTCTTGAATGAAGCACATCTTAGCACAGTAACTTCAGGACATCATGAACCAAACTATCTGGCCTCTTTTTTTTTTTAACCACATTTAGTTTCTGCACATTATAGTTTATTGCGGACATTATCCTTATAATATTGGCTCTGTTCTTAAATCCCCATAGTACTGGGATAAGATCATTATTGCTTACCTCCCTCCCTCTTAAAGAACACACAGAGCCCAAGGCTCTGACTGTTGTCTACTTATGTTACCAGATGCTGCTCACACTCTCCTGACTCTTGTGTCTGTGTTGATTTTTGCTTTTATTCCAGGCCATGTTTGACTGGCTAGATAACACCGTGATTAAGCTCTGCACCATGCCCCCAGTTGGCACCGACCTCAACACTGTTAAAGATCAGTTAAATGAAATGAAGGTTTGTGGGGGGGGATGGTTTTTGGCAGATTATGTATTTTTTTTTTTTAAGATTTATTTATTTATTCATACAGAACTGGGGTACAGGCCAGAGATGCAGAGGGTGAGAGGATTCACCAGAGACAGAGTGGGGCACAGAACAGGCAGATGGCCGAAATACACTGCTGAGGGGAGCAGCGGGCCGGTCAGGAGAGGTCTGCCTCGCCATGTGGTTACCTCCGGGGCAGGCGGGGATCGAACTCATGCGGAAGTGGCTTTAGTTTCTCACTGCAGTGCTTTAACCCACTGCGCCACCAGGGAGGGCCAGATTATGTATTTTTAAGTGTTTCAAGGCTTGTTGTTAACATTAGCTATGTCTTTGAACAGGAGTTCAAAGTGGAAGTTTACCAACAGCAAATTGAGATGGAGAAGCTCAACCACCAAGGTGAACTAATGTTAAAGAAAGCTACTGATGAAACAGACCGAGACATTATACGAGAGCCACTGACAGAGCTCAAACACCTTTGGGAGAACCTGGGTGAGAAAATCGCCCACAGACAGGTAAGGCTTACCGCAGACTGGTAAGCTCAGTGGACTGCAAGCTCTTGTTTTCTCGTGTCCTAACAAATGTTCCCTTTATATCTTTTTCTGAGTAGCATAAGCTCGAAGGTGCTCTCTTGGCCCTCGGCCAGTTCCAGCATGCCTTGGAGGAGCTAATGAGTTGGCTGACTCACACTGAAGAGTTGTTAGATGCTCAGAGACCAATCAGTGGAGACCCAAAAGTCATTGAAGTTGAGCTTGCGAAGCACCATGTAAGTATTTTCATTTTTCATCTCTAAGCTGGTTGATTTGAGACCAAATAGTGCCAACCAGAAGCCTTTAGATGTGTGTGTTCTGTAGAGAACCAGGCTCAACGATATCTATCGAGATAAATTATATTGCTCACCATTTTTTAGGTTCTTAAAAATGATGTTTTGGCGCATCAAGCCACAGTGGAAACAGTCAACAAAGCTGGCAATGAACTTCTTGAATCCAGTGCTGGCGATGATGCCAGCAGCTTACGGAGCCGCTTGGAAACGATGAACCGGTGCTGGGAGTCAGTGTTACAGAAAACAGAGGAGAGGGAGCAGCAGCTGCAGTCGACACTGCAGCAGGTACACACACACCTTCTGGGTGAGGAGGGGGAGCCGCGGCAGAGCGCCCCGCAGAGCAGGCCTTTCATGAGAGAGAGCCTGAAAGGAAAGCAGGGCGGGCTAGAGCCTTTGTGTCTGGAGAGGAAGGTTAATTTTATCCTGGAATGAGCAGCTTTCGATTGGGTGGTTCCTTTTCGATTTGTCTGCAGCCCAGTCCTTATTTACTCGTTAGAGTTGGAAGATCTTCATTGTAACAAACTGCATTCACAGGTTTCGTTATTTCTTAGGTCAAGTCAGGTTTCCTATATCCACGTTCACTTTATCAGATGTCTCTAATATGTGACTATCAGGTCTGCACGATTCTACTGGTTTGCGACAATGACTGTCTTGGCCCACGGCTTATCCAGGACAGAACAGCTCTGCCTGAGAGCAGTCTGTGATTTCTCCCTCAAGACAGTACTCACATGATCATTGGAAAGGTTATTCGTGCAGGTACTGATATTGTTGATACATCCTTTTTTCTCAAAAGGCTCAGGGCTTCCACAGTGAAATTGAAGATTTCCTCTTGGAACTGACCAGAATGGAGACCCAACTTTCTGCATCTAAGCCCACAGGAGGACTTCCTGAAACTGCTAGAGAACAGCTTGATACACATATGGTAATAGACGTTTTGAAACTGAACATTAACATCTCATATTCAATAGCTCCTTAGGAATTTGCAGAGGTGTGTGCAGCTGGGAGTATTCAAAGTGTGCCTTTTCACTGACACTGTATACTTGGGAACCGTTGCTTTTGGCCCAAGAATAATATTGAGTCAAGGTGAAAGCATCAGAAAGAAAAGTACATAACACAAATGAGGTTGTATTTAAGAAAAATGGGGGATTTAATGAATTCCAGTAAATAATGAGAGTGTTTTAAGAACATGCACTGAAAATAAAAGATGACGTATTTCTAGGCAAGTCCTTGAGGAAAAGGGGAAATAGATCATTGGAGTCTATTTTTGTGATCTCTGATTCTTACCCAAAAACTATTTTAACATTAAGAAAGAATGGAGGAGCTCACTCCTTCATGGCTCAACATTTGAGCTAAGTCTAAAAGTAAGAATTTTAATCAAGACCAGGCCTTGCTGGATTATCCTCAAGCTGTGCTAGGAATTCTGTGTGGGGGTCTGTCTCAGAGAGTGGCATTACTGATATCTTTCCTGCTTTTTCTTGTAGGAACTCTATTCCCAGCTCAAAGCCAAGGAAGAGACTTATAATCAACTGTTGGACAAGGGCAGGCTCATGCTTCTAAGCCGTGGCGATTCTGGGTCTGGCTCAAAAACAGAGCAGAGTGTAGCTCTCCTGGAACAGAAGTGGCGTGTGGTCAGCAGCAAGATGGAAGAAAGAAAGGTGCTACCAGAGTGCAGTTTGTGAGAGCACTGTGTTTGGGGCATTTGCTTGGTGATTCTGTGCACTTACACTTGGTACCTATGGAGATTTTGTAGCGGAAGATGCAGAATGGACATCCCCAGATTTGGCTTCATGCTAGTCAGACATGTTTTCTGTTTTGTTTGTATTGTCTATTCATATCAAGATGCAGTAACAGGGTAACTTGCTTTTACAATTACTCCTTTACTGTGTTTACCAATTGGGGAATTATCACCTGTTACTGCTCACTGATCAGCTCTTTGTCTCGTATTAGTCACTGCCTGTGTTCCTTCTTAAGCACAAGGTTTTGTTGCCGTTAGTGGGAAGGACTGGGGAGGGTGAGGACAAAGCATGTAGGCAGTATGACTAACACCTTCCCATAAGGATTTGGTTTCTAGTACACAAGGAAATTTACTAAAAATCAAGAGAGTGGTTAGCTGCATGGCCTCTTCCCACTCATTCTCAAGTCAAGCACTTTTCAGCAAGTAGAAGACAGTAGTAAGGTCCCGAACTTTATCATTACTATTTTAATGAGAACGAGGTTTTAGTGTCCCTCTGCACAGAGGTTCTGTGCTGGGCAGGTCAGATACAAGATACATATTCAAGTCTCCTGGTCACATCCACTCAACAATCATCTGCAGCAGGCACATGCCAGGCACTGTGCTCGGATCGTGGTGGACACAACAAAGGCATGATGACGCTATCGACGTGAAATTTAATGAGCAGAAGACGTAAATATTCACACATATAAAAGAAAAAAAAAGCATTAATTTCCTGGAATTCTCCTGTTGTGTCTGGTGATTTCGCTGAATGCAGTTTGGCCAGAGAACCTGAGTGTATGGTTCTATTCTAATTCCTAGACAGGCTGTCACCTGTCATTCCTGCATAGTATAGACCTAACCAAAGAAATCAGGGCACATTCTGGCTCATAAAGTTTCTTGAGTGTTTTCCTCACACTAGAACAAGGTTACCTTAATAGGTTCGTGTTACTCAGCACCAGTGGCACTGAACTGGTTGAGCAAAGACTGGGTATCAAGAGTAGTTAATTCTCATTTCATAAGAACAATCCAACTCAGAATCACCAAAATCATTTATTTATCGAATGTGTATGGTACTATATTAAAGAACACAGATAAAACTGCAGGAAGATTTCCTGCCATCTAGGAACTGGCAATACATCAATATTTAAACATTTCAATGGTAGATCTGAGGTAAATTTCATTTTTCCACTTGATTTATTTAGATTGGGTCTGTTTTTTATTTATACATACAAGAACTGGTATACAGGCCAGAGTTGCAATGAGAGGAGGGAGAGGATTTTCCATAGACAAAGCAGGGAGCAGAACAGGCAGATCTACTGAAATACACTGCTGAGGGGAGTGGCAGGTGAGACAGGAGAGGTCTGCTGTGCCATGTGGGTCAGCTCCCTGGCCCCAGGGGATAAAACTCATGCTACAGTGGCTGCCATAGCTTGATAGCACTGTGTCTTTAACGCCTGTGCCTCTGGGGAGGCACAGGTCTACACATTTTTGTAGTGTTTTTTTCAAGTGACCAAGTAGAAAAACACAGAAGAAAATGAAAGTGAGATAGACCCTCCTTAACATTTGTATTAAATTAACATTTTTAGTGTATGTCTTGGTTTCTCTGAGTGGTTTAAAAGTAGCCATTCTTAACAGTTGTTAGTATTCTACTTTGCATGCCTGGTTGGTGGGCCAGGGCAGGCAGAAGCTGTCGCTCAGATGATGAGGGTAGAGGGCTCTGAGGAGTCTGTGGGTTCTGGAACTGAGGTGCGCTTGTGGAGGTAGCACGCACCCTGAATGACCCACTGTTTTTCCATTCCGACTTAGATCACAGTGGTTAAAAATTTGCATCTAATGTTGTTAGATTTTTGCTCAGAATGTCATGGCTTTTATGAGCTTCAGAATCCCACATTTTCAGGTGCTGTGTTTTCTGAAAATGTATTTAAAAAGAGCATTGCAGTGAGCATTATCTTTATAGTAAAGTGCTTTTCATTTCATTGTTTTTAATGCCATAAAAAAAATAGATCAGGCCCTCCCTGGTGGCGCAGCGGGTTAAAGCACTGCACTGAGAAGCTAAAGCCGCTTCTGCATGAGTTCGATTCCCGCCTGCCCCGGAGGTGACCACCTGGCGTGGCAGACCTCTCCTGACCCGCCCGCTGCTCCCCTCAGCAGTGTGCTTCATCCATCTGCCTGTTCTGCTCCCCACTCTGTCTCTGGTGAAGCCTCTCGCCACCCCTGCACCTCTGGCCTGTACCCCAGTTCTGTATGCACAAATAAATAAATCTTTAAAAAAAAAAATAGATCAAAGGAAACTGAGACTCTGCCCAGAGCAGGTCGCAGATCCTGCAGCTGTTGCCTCCGACACGGCTGTGCACTTGCGCCTACTGAATGGTCTCATTCCTGCTCTTCAGCGTCCCAGGAAGTGGGGAATGGCAGAGAGGCTGCAAATTGTGCTCTTTTCTGTTCCGTATACAGTTGTTTGGGTTTCAGACACTAACACTAAAATGTGCCCTTCTTTACAAGCGAGGCATGTTTGCAGACTGATTAATATGGGGCTTCTTTTCCGGAGGTCGCTTCACGTGATGTACAATTCACGTCTTTGTTCTTGAAGTTACAATTCCTGAATTCTGCACTTTCTCTTTGTGTGTTTTAATTAAAATTCAGTCAAAGCTGGAAGAGGCCCTCCACCTGGCAACAGAATTCCAGAATTCCCTACAAGAATTTATCAACTGGCTCACCCTAGCAGAGCAGAGTTTGAACATCGCTTCTCCTCCCAGCCTGATTCTGAACACCGTCCTTTCCCAGATAGAGGAGCACAAGGTGACTGTGGCCCAATGACGTTGCTTTCCTTTCCAGAGAACTCATTATAGGGACATTCCTCGATGTTAGCTTAAGTGTAAAAAGAGCAATACTTTTCCTCCAGGTTTTTGCTAATGAAGTAAATGATCATCGAGATCAGATCATTGAGTTGGATCAAACTGGGAATCAGTTAAAGTTTCTTAGCCAAAAACAAGACGTTGTTCTGATCAAGAATTTGCTGGTTAGCGTCCAGTCCCGATGGGAGAAGGTTGTCCAGCGGTCTATTGAAAGAGGACGATCACTAGATGATGCCAGGAAGCGGGCAAAACAAGTAAGTTATAAAAGAGCTAACTGATCTGTTGAACAGCCTTGGCTGCATGTGTCGAGTGTCTGGATTGGTTCAAAATAGTTGTTCATATCCATTCCCACTGCAACGTACTTCTTATGTGATTATAGTTCCATGAAGCTTGGAAAAAGCTGATCGACTGGCTAGAAGATGCAGAGAGTCACCTGGACTCAGAACTGGAAATCTCCAATGACCCAGACAAAATCAAACTTCAGCTCTCTAAGCATAAGGTAATACAGTTCAATTCATTGCTCTCAGTTCCTGAGCTTATGACTTGCTGAAAATAAAAGTCAGGGCTAGTCAAAAGAAAACTAAAATGGACCAGCTCTTGGGAAGGTGGTCAAGGGGCTGAAGCCAGCATTCCATCTCACAACTAGGCGCTGTCTGATTGTAGTAACTGCTCATTTAAGTAACAGTGCACATGAAGTGATTGCTGGAGTAACGCACTAAAGCTGTGGGCTTTTAGAAACTGTTGTGGCGTAAACAAAAGCTTACTAGTTTTTTAAGGATAAACTATCATCAATCTTAGTTCAAGATGTACTGACATTCACACTATACCCAGCTGCCAACCTGAAAAACTCCAAAAACTGTTTTTGTTCTAAATCAAGTTGTCATCTGGCTTTTACTACTTTTTTTCTTTGGTTTATTTCTTTCTTGTCATTTTGCTTTTTATTCTTTCATTTTTTTTAATTGAAGTTGTGTTGGTGTACATTGTGGGGTGTTTTGAAATGACAGGGTCCCCCCCCAAGTCCACAGCCGAGTCCATGAGCTCCCTCCCATTTTCTGCTCCCTCTCCCCTTTCCCTCCTCTCAATGTCTCAGTTCTGTGTCTGCTTCCAGGGACTAGTTTTTGAGTTTGGCTTTATCTGACCCTTTGTCTGGTTCCTCTATACTTATTTTTTTGTTTTTTTTTTTCTCCAAAATATAAATTTACTAAGTTCCAATATTCCTTCCCATTTCCTTTCCTTTTCAAAATTCTTTTTATTCCTTCATTTTTGTACGATGTATGGTTTCCCTGTGAAATTCCCACCACCAATTCACCATCCAGCATTTGTCTCTCTCCTTCTGACTTAACTTCACTTAGCATCATTCCTTCCAGTGCCTTCTATGCTACCACAAATACCTTGATCACTGAGTAATAAGCACATCTTCTTGATTCACTCATCTGTTCTGGGGCAGTTGGGATTTTCCCATAACCTGGCTATTGTAAATAGTGCTGCAAACATGGGAGTGCAGGTTTCCCTTTGAATCGGCATGTTTGCATCCCTTGGGTAGATGCGTAGAAGTGGAATTGCTGGTTCATCTGGAGCATCCATTTTTAATCTTTTGAGAGACCTACATACAGCTTTCCCTAAGGGCTGGGCCACTTTATAGTTCTACCAACAGTGTAAAAAGGTTCCTTTTTCTCCACATCTTTACCCGCACTTATTGTTTCCGGTCTTTTTACACAGGTGTGAGGTAGTATCAGTATCTTACTGTGGTTTTTGATTTGCATTTTCCTAATGATCAGTGATGAACATCATTTCCTAATGATGATGAACATGTTTGCATATGCCTCTCGACCATCTGTCTTCTTTTTTAACCTCCCTACCGCTTGTTTTTCTTTTCTTTTTGGAAACAGGAGTTCCAGAAAACTCTCGGTGGCAAACAGCCTGTGTATGATACCACAATTAGAACTGGCAGAGCACTGAAAGAAAAGACGTTGCTTCCTGATGACACTCACAAACTGGACAACTTATTGGGGGAAGTCAGAGACAAATGGGATACTGTTTGTGGCAAGTCTGTGGAGAGGTGAGCATGACACCCCCTTAGAGAGTCTGTGCGGTCCCCAGAACAGCCCAGACTTTTCCTGGATCCATACAATGTAGTGAAGCTAGTGCATCAGTAAGAGGTTTTGTAGCCTCTCAGTATCTCCAGTTACTCCAACAAGAGTTATGAAATAATTTGAATTAAATGAATTCAAGTTCACTTGACACTATATGAGAAAGATTGACGCCCCAAAAGTAAAACCAGTAGTAAGGGAAGATCAGGAACTGTAAATGTTAACAGTCACAGCTGTCTGATTGAGTGCTCTACCAAGGGGCCACCACGGTGCAGAGCCTCAACACATGTGCGGCCTTGAGCCATCCGGATCCCGGGCCTTAGCTGAGAAGCGGCACTGAGTGTGCCTGACCGCGCCTGCTAGACACTTAGTCGTAACAGCCAGTGTTACTCTGGGTACTGTGTACTGAGGTGGGTACTGTCACCCCGTTGTGGAAATCAAACAACCACAATAAGGTCTCTGAATTTCCTCAGCCACTAAGTAGCAGAAGTGGGATTTGAAATTAAGCAATTTAGTTCTAAAACTTTTAGAGCCAAAGTTGTACTTTCGTCCACTTGTACCCACTGTGCTATGCTAAGTACAATAATATCTCCATTTCATGTACACACAATTTTTTTTTTAGATGAGGCAACTGAGGTTCGACTAGATTCGGCTAGAAACAGCCCAGGGTCACACAACTTGCTGTAGAGCTGGGGTTGAACTCTTGACTCCAGACTGTTAACAGAACTCTTGTCTTCTAGAGTAGTGTGAAATAATTAACACAGACCGTGGGTTGTTGGGGTGCATTCATGTGAATAACCATTGGCCTCCAAGAAGCCAGAAGGGCAATGTATACCTGCCCCCCTCCCTTCAGTAAATCCATTCCAGAAAATGGTTTGATGAAAATGTCTCAAAAAAGCATTTTAGGCTTTTTCTCTTAGATCCTTTGTGTACTGTATTTCTAACTATTCTACCATGGATGTTCTTTTCTTTTTGGAGTTCAAGCAGCATTCTCTCCTAGCAGTCAGAACTATGGGCTTTTTATAGAAGAGTACCTAAAAATGAAGAGGTATGTGTGCTTTTTCTCAGGCAGCACAAGTTGGAGGAGGCTCTCCTGTTCTCGGGCCAGTTCATGGACGCTCTGCAGGCCTTGGTTGACTGGTTGTACAAGGTGGAGCCTCAGCTGGCCGAGGACCAGCCCGTGCATGGGGACCTGGACCTGGTCATGAATCTCATGGATGCCCATAAGGTGAGGGCTGATGCCCACCGAGGCATACCTCTCGCTGGCCAACCTAGCAGGGCAGAAGAGCATCTGACAGCCTGTATCTCCTCTTGTCGGAGAGACAGCTCCTTGCTCTGTGTTTAAACAGTTGCTAGGATTCCACATCAAGGCACGAAGAGTTTTCCAAAATTGGATTGATTCAGATAACGGCAGTGTATAAACATCATTTTGAGATTCCCTCCTCCCCTTCCTACTTGTATCCCACAGTTGAGACATAGAAATTTTTAATTTTTACAGACCCTCCGATACCCATTCCCACTGATTCCTAAAATAGAAATGAGTAATTTTTTAAGTATCGCTAAGGCTGACCAGCTCGACACTGCCCATCGTGTGCTCCTGTGTCAGCTCTCAGCACTACCTTGAAATTGCATCCAGTTCTTTGTGTGTGTGACAGGTGTGTTCTTATTTTAACTCCCTTAGTTCTGAAAATGTTAGTATAGCGTTATTCCCATTTTGCAGATAAGGAAACTGAGACTCCAGTGAAGATTCATTCACTCATGCGTCTTCCACACTTTCCTGCCTCCCTCTGTGCACAAAGGACACGTAATGGAGTCTGCCAGGGAAAACTGCACTAGATGGTGGTTTTCTGTGGTTTTACCTCTCAGAATCCAAACAATTCTCAAGCCGATTTACCTGTTTTCTTTCCTAGGTTTTCCAGAAGGAGCTGGGAAAGCGAACGGGAACTGTTCAGGTGCTGAAGCGGTCTGGGCGCGAGCTGATCGAGAATAGCCGTGATGACACCACATGGGTGAGGGGCCAGCTCCAGGAACTGAGCACCCGCTGGGACACTGTGTGCAAACTCTCCGTCTCCAAACAAAGCCGCCTTGAGCAGGCGTTAAAGCAGGTGAGAGACCTTTGCTGGGGCAGCCTCCCAGCCATGTGTCAGAGCACGTGCATTTTACTTACTTTATCAGGATGAGTCCCTGGTAAAGCAGTAAGCAAACAGTGATATTCTGATAAGATTTTAACAGTCTCTTGTACTAGAGAAATAATGAGTTCAGTTGGATTTCAAAGATCTGCAAAGAAAGATGACCTGGGCGGGGGGAGGGGTGTGATAGTAGAGGCCTCTGCGGCACCGATGGGCTCGGGCCAGACCCCTGGCGTGCCAGTGTGCAGAACCTGGGCTGCAGGGACAGGCTCAGTGTTGTGTGTCGGCTTTTCAGGCAGAAGAGTTTCGAGACACTGTCCACATGCTGTTGGAGTGGCTTTCTGAAGCAGAGCAAACACTTCGCTTTCGGGGGGCACTTCCTGACGACACAGAGGCTCTGCAGTCTCTCATTGACACCCACAAGGTAATCCAGCCTCCGAGAGCAGTGGCCCATGCCCTCCTCGAGGCTGAGGGCTGCCCACCACTGGAGGGGAAGGAGCAGAGCCAGGCGAGCCCAGCTCACTGGTTTGAGAAGAATGAGTGGAAAATGACTGGGGGGTTTGTGGCATCTGTGAGAGCTTTCATTTGTTTTTATTAAGGAATGTGTGTGATAAATAGGTGAGGACATGGTGGCAGAGAAAGCAGAACATGGGGCTGTTCCACCTTGTTCTCACCTGCACACACCTTTGTGGGGCCCTCATTCTGACTGTCCTAGTGAGGGGAGAGACGTTGGCTTCACTGATGACATACCGTGTGACCCCCGCAGAAGGCTTCAGACTTGGTCGTCGTATTCTCTGCAGGGGTTTTTAAATAGTGTTGTGTTTTTTGACGCATTTGCCCCTGACAGTGCTGTTCACTTCCATATATGGAAATGAATAGAACAGGATTGTTTTTGAAAACAAACTACTTCATACTAGGAAACGGCGCATGCCCCGCCGGCCAAGGGGACAAACCCGTGTCCTTGTCCATCACCTCTAGAAGGGAAAGTCATTCCCTATGAGCCCGAACCACCCCCACATCCCCCGCCCCATCTTTTAGCTCAAAAATAAAATCTCAGCGGCACCTAAATGAGGATTCTTAAAAGTCCCTGTCAACCCTTGGATGGGAAAATCTGAAGGTTTGTCCTGTCTCAGGGTAAACTAGCAGTGCTGCTAAAGTAGGTTTCTTCCGCTTCTACTTTCACATCTTTTTTCTTTAGGAATTCATGCAGAAAGTAGAAGAAAAGCGAGTGGATGTGACCACAGCAGTAGCCATGGGAGAAGCCATCTTGGCCGTCTGCCATCCCGACTGCATCACCACTATCAAACACTGGATCACCATCATCCGCGCTCGCTTTGAGGAGGTGAGTCCCCGGCTTCAGAGGAAACCCGCGCAGGCCCAGTGAGAGGGGTTAATGGCAATAAGATTCTGCAGCGCCTGCCTCTCCCCTTCCTCACCAAATAAGGCAGCTTTAATGGCAAGTGTGTCAGCAGGAATGAAGGCCTTCAGTAAGACAGTCCGCTTGGGAATGTGTGGAAATCGGGACGTGTGGTGCTGGGTGGTGGTGTGTTGGCTGATGAAGCCGCTGGACACCCGGTGTGTTATGTCCACCTGTCAGAGAAGAATGTTTTGAGTAGGGTGTGCTATAGGTTTGCTTGCAGGAATGCTGCTTGCTTATCCCAGCTGTCCCTGGAACAAGAGTTGAAGTCCCTTGACCCTTTGATGGGCTTTTCCCTAAAAAGTCACCCTTGGGATTAATAAAAAAGGGCCTTGCAAATAGTTCAGTGTGTGACTGAAGACAGCACGGTTTGTCTGTCCCCCCAGGTCCTGACCTGGGCTAAGCAGCACCAGCAGCGTCTTGAAACAGCCCTGTCAGAACTGGTGGCTAACGCTGAGCTCTTGGAAGAACTTCTGGCGTGGATCCAGTGGGCCGAGACCACCCTCATTCAGCGGGATCAGGAGCCAATCCCTCAGAACATTGACCGAGTCAAAGCCCTTATCACGGAGCATCAGGTAACCCCACCACCTGTCTCTTGTGTTGGTTGTGGGAGCCTGAAGCGTTCGCCCAGTGTTTCCATTTTCTCAATTGCTGCTTAAGATATTCCCACAGGTCTTAACACACTACTTCTCTCACAGTTTCAGGGGGCAAGAGTCCGAGCAGCTTGCCAGGTTCTCCTCTCAGGGTCTTACTCTCGTTCAGGCCATGGGCAGACCCATCTCCTTGCACAAGCAGGGCCAGGGTCACCCTCAAGCCTCACCCCCACACTCCCACCACGTGCAGCCTGGGTCTTCAAAACCAGCAGGAGAAGCCCCAGTCAGCGCTAGCAGGTCTTACAACTGTTCCATCCTTCACTCGAGTGCTGCCCCTGTTCGAGGGGTGGGGGGGGTGTGCACACCAGTGGTGCGAATCTGGGGACCATCTAAGAACTATGCCTGCCCCATCCTGGCTTACCAGCTGGCCTCTGAGCCAGGCTCCCAGTTACACCTGGTTCGGGGAGACCTTTCATGTGGACCCAGAGATGGGCTCAGGCAACATTAAACTAGCCTTCATAATTTTCAGCCTTAAGAAGAAATAAGGTTTTAACCAGGATAATTTTCACTGCGCGTAAACCTGAATCTTGCTGGTTATGCTGTGGACAGGTTCTCTTTTTAGTATACACAACAGCTAACTAACCTGGTCTCTGAGAACTACATACATAGTATCCAACTTAACTACATGGACACTTTCCCTCCTGAGTAAGGTTATGTTCTTCCCACCCAATGCCGTCCTCTCCCTTCCTGTACCCCCACTCTTCCTTGTGTCTTCAAGGCCCCCATTCTGTTTGTTCTTACCTCCAGGGTCTTCCCAGCCCATGTCCTGAGAGCTACCCCATTGTCCCGTCCCCGGCAGGCCCCTGACACTGCACAGTCCCATCACACTGGCTGACTTCCAGGCTTTGTCTCACTTGGCCTGTGACAGTTGCCTCTTCCTACCGTCTCAGAGTGCTTTTCTTTTGACTGTGTCCTCCCATCATCTTTTCCTCCCACCTCTGTCCATTCCTTCTCAGTTTTCGCTGGTTCCTCTTGCTCTACCCACTGGTAGTGTTGCTGTTCCCTGAGCTTCTGTTCCTGACCTTCTCCTCAAACTTGATAAACACCAGTAAAGTGCCTTGCTCAGCTGTGTCTCTGGAAAGGCCTGCAGCTGTGTACAAAGGCACCTGTCATTCCAGTGACCATGGGCTCGCCTTTTGTTAATCGGTTACCTGATTCCATCTCGGTCCAAGAAAACCCTCAACTCTTCTTCCTCTGTGCTTAACAGGCATTTATGGAGGAGATGACTCGAAAACAACCTGACGTGGACCGGGTCACCAAGACATACAAGAGGAAGAACACAGAGCCGGCCCACGCGCCTTTCATTGAGAAGTCCCGCAGCGGCAGCAGTAAGTGCCCGCCCAGTCGGGCAGGATGCGCCCCCCCACAGAGCCGTGCCCCCGCAGTGGTCTCTGCACCCTCAAAACCATATGGGCTCGGGACCAACATCTTTCTTTGAAACTTGCTTTTCTTACACTGGCAGATAACTAATTGTCCTCCATTTCCTTCATATAGAATGAAATTTTAAGGAGGTTAAACAAGCTCTTTTGCAGTAGCTGTTGTGTTCTCTGGGGGCTGGCTGCTTGTGTTTCGTGTGCCTGGTCTTAAATTAAATCCGCTCTCACGGAGCCTTTGCTTGTTCAGTAGAATCGACATTTCCTCGGTTCACTAAGGCAGGACAGATGAGTCAGCACGTGAGACAGATACCTGTTTGTCGAGAGCAAGGACCAGTCCTTGAAATGAGTGTCTGAATGCCCCAAGTCCACGTCCCTTGTCTCGGTGTCTGACTTGCCCACCGTTAGAAAACGTTCATACACACGTGGCCGCCCGCTGTGAGCTGGCAAAGCCACCTTTTCCAATCTCGTGGTTATTTTTCCCCTCAGGGAAGTCCTTGAATCAGCCAGCACCGCCTCCCATGCCAATCCTGTCACAGTCTGAAGCAAAAAACCCACGGATCAACCAGCTTTCTGCCCGCTGGCAGCAGGTGTGGCTGCTCGCGCTGGAGCGGCAGCGGAAGCTGAACGACGCCCTGGACAGGCTGGAGGAGGTGAGGGCCCCTCCGTGGCCACCGTCAGCGGTAGGCACGCACTGGTGTGCACCAGCCGCTGCTTAGGCAAGAGGGCGCGGCGGGGAGACCGCTCACCACCGAGAGCCGCTCGCTGGTGTGGGGAGCTGGCCAGGCCCGGGTCCGACCTGAGACCTGAGCCTGGCTGTGCCGGCGTCGCCAGCTGACCTTGCCAGTCACCTCCAGGTGGTGGCCTTAGAGGAAAACGACCGTTGCTGAGCCTTGTGCATAAAGACGTAAACTGCAATTGTGAAATCAGAGTAGCTTTTTAATCTGTTAGTCTTCACTAGATTACAAAAAGCAAATCGTATTAAAGTATTATTTACCACTCTGGAAAAATTTCTAAACCAAACCTCTAATACCTTTCATATTCTTTTATTTGTGCACATCAAAGCAGCTATGCCCAGAAGTGAGTGTTCTGTGTTTTTTGTTGTTATTTCTATAGGTTCAGTTGAGTTTTAAGTATATCTGGGTTTGGCTTTTTTTTTTCCCCCATTCCTTCCAACTTTGAAGTTTGAAAGACCAGGGGAAAACTGCTGCTCTGTTGAAGTCATCCTGAGTCTAAAGGCCGGGTGGCTAAATATGGCCTTGCCCACTGCGCAGCTGCCAAAGCCTGTCAGGGCCAGACACTGGGCGTGGAAGGCCGACGGGGCCACTGCAGAGCCATGAGCTTGCATGCAGGGCTGGATTCCTCCTGCTCCAGCCAGAACTCGACCGAGCTCATCTCAGAGAACATGAGCCTCTGACAAGGCCCATGTCGGGAGGGAGGCGTGCTGAGGGCTGCTGTCCGGTGATGGAAGCCAGTCCCTCGTGTCTCAAAGGGTGAACCTTTGAAGGAGCAGAGGAAACAAGGCGGGGCCCACCGCTCTTGTTCCTCGCACTCCCTGTCCCCAACGGTGGCTGTCCAGGTGCTGTGTCTCCTGCTGCCCCACCTCCACAGCTCGCGTGAACAGTCATGGCTTTGAGCGAAGGTGCTGGCACGAGCCCTTGTCGGTGCCCCTCCGGAAGGCCTGCATGGCTTTACTGAGTGTCTGAAAGTTCTGGTATGCTCCGGGCCAGAATGATAAGTCTTGTTGACACCTGATTTCTGTCTAGCTGAAGGAATTTGCCAACTTTGACTTTGATGTCTGGAGGAAAAAGTATATGCGGTGGATGAATCACAAAAAGTCCCGGGTAATGGATTTCTTCCGTCGAATCGACAAGGACCAGGATGGGAAGATAACGCGTCAGGAGTTCATCGACGGCATTCTGGCATCCAGTGAGTCCAGTCGCAACCCAAACACAGGTCACACCTGATTTCCTTGAGTTTTGCAGAAGCAGGTGGTATTCTGATAAGCAGTCTTTCTGAAGTACAGATAATAAAACCGTCTTAGGGAAATGATGTAACCGCTTTCCAAATTTGGTCTGTTAGAGAGAAGAACTTCGTTTCTGGGACTAAAATAAACAGGTCTTAAATGACAACATTATGACAAGCAAATACTTGTGAGGTGTAAGCATGAAGTTGTAAGTGACATCTTTAAAGAAATCAGATTTTCATAATACCCATTTCAGGCATCTATACTAACAGCTTGCAAAGTGTGTGATCTCATTTACTTTTAGCAGAAGGAATAATTGAGGCATAAAGTCAGTAAATGCCTTGTCAGGATCAAACATCATGTCTCATAGCTGTGCTACTCTGCATGGTGGCTGGGAAAGCCCCTCTGGAGGGAATATTTGAACTGAAACCTAAAGTATGAGAAGAATCCAGCCCTGTCAAGGTGTTAGGGAAGAGATAGCAGAGGGAACTGCAGATGCAAAGCACTGAGGTGGGAATGAACTTGGCATCTTCTGGTCTTGGAAGATTAACATGACTGGAGTGTCATGACCTCAGAGAGTATAGACATGAATTTGGAAAGGCAGGCAGACACAGGTGAAGAGATCAGATTTTCCCAGAGACAGTAGGCAGCCACAGGAGGTTGAAAAGCAATGCAGTCTGTTTTTACATTTTAGTAGATCACTCTGACTACTATAAATATCCACACTTCCTTTTGGAAAGCAATTTATCAAGAACTTAAGGCAGCAATTGAAACATAGAGACTTAACTTACTATTGTTAATTCTAAAGTATCCATTGGTCTGAAATCTGAGTATAGTTGGATATTTGGTGGAGGGGATCAAGTAAATTTTTAAGTTGGGTGGTAGCTTCATGAATGGATGTTCTGTGTACACCTTTTGGTATACCTGTCAGTAAGCAAACCAAAACATAGCAGTGAGTGGTTTCTGGGTACTATAATTTGGGGTCGTTTTTATCTTTTTTTATACTATTTACTTCTTTTAAGTTTTCTAAAGTGAGCATATTGCTTTTCAGAAAATAGCACATTCATATTTTTTTCTTTCAAGTATTACTTACCCTCCAATCAACCAATTGGAGGTTGGCTAATCTCTCAGTTAACGTTCCAAAATGTGATTCGTTTCTCTAGAATTCCCTACTACCAAATTAGAGATGACTGCCGTTGCTGACATTTTTGACCGAGATGGAGATGGCTACATTGATTACTATGAATTCGTGGCCGCTCTTCATCCCAACAAGGATGCTTACCGGCCAACTACCGATGCTGATAAAATTGAAGATGAGGTACAGAAAAGAGTTGCATTTTGAGTACATTTCTGACCATACGTTTCTCTGTCCTGAACTTGATTGGATGCAGTTACCACCTCAGCCCTCTGATTGACCTGTTGGGAGGTGACTTCTTGGTTCTGCTTGGGTAACTGTTGGGATGGCATTGCCCACAAGATTCTGGCTGAGCTAGATGACTTCTTGGCCAAGCGAGGCACACCTGTGCGGTACTCTGTGGTTTACAGAGAACCTTATCATACCTCCCTCATCCCTGTTCACAGAGTGCATGTTACTTAGAATAGACTCCTCTTTCAGTCCTCCTCAGAGTCCAAGGATGTGGTATTTAGATGTAGACATTAGGGGTGAACTGAAAAGTGTTGTCTGAGATAGTATGCACCTGTCAGGCTTTCTGCCTCGTTAAAAACTATATCACATTGCAAATGGAATATGTATTGGCAGCATGTAGGATCTGTTGATCCTGGGGAGGGAGAAGCAGTGGGCAGGGCTAGCGAGTGCCCTAGGGCAGCTTCCAGTAATCTGACTCCGAAGGGAACCTCACATTAGCTCCTAATCTGTTTTGTTACTCAGTTGACTCTGATGTGTGCATAATTGCACATTTATCTGAAGGAATTTTGAAGCAGAAGTGTTTTACAGTTACTTGGGAATTTCTTTCATAACCTCTCTCTTAAGTATCCCAGTTAGTAAGAACAATGCATTTTAATTCAGACAGAAGTTAAATTCATGTGTCAAAAGCCTGTAATGCCTAATAAATACATAATGAATAGATTCTCTGTTTACATGCAAAAATCTGTTTCTCTGAAGTCTTACCTTATCCCTCATTTGCTTTGTTTTGTTTTGTTTTGTTTTATTCATAACCAATAGGTCACAAGACAAGTGGCTCAGTGCAAATGTGCAAAAAGGTTTCAGGTGGAACAGATTGGAGAGAATAAATACCGGGTAAGGAAGACAACAGCCTTTGGGATGGTCCCCCCCACAGCCCCCCTGACAGGTGAAGGCAGCCTGCCCCAGCACACTGCACTGCCCTCTCTGGCCCTCCTCGCTCTGGACACCAGTGTCAGGTGTCCTGTTGGGCCAAGCTTAACACCCTCTTTAGTTTCATCTGAAAAATATGGCCATAGTCTAACTCAAGTAGTGGCTTGTACTTGGTTTCCCAGTAGAGGTGGTCATTGGGAATCTCTGTGGCTCATAAAAGCTGGAGAGACCGACGAGGCCCTCGGGACACCTCCCTGCCTGCGGTGCAATGAGCGGACTCGGCAGTCCTCGCTAGCCACGCTGAGTGTGGCCATAGCTCTCTGTGAACTGCGCTCATTGACCCCCTTTTGGGACCCGGGTTGGGTCACAGGAGAAGTCTGAAATAGGCTCCTGTAATACAATTAGCAGCTTATCGGGGTTCTCCACTAAGGAAACCAGGTCCCCCTGAGCCTGGAAAACGCCCTCCCAGTACAGCAGAGCCGAACGGTGACTCTCAGCTGGGGAGCGTCAGGAGGCAGAATCAGCCTAGAGCATCCAGTGAATGAAATCACTTGTTTTGTGAGTTTTGTTGTCTTGTGTGTGTGTGTTTTTCCCACTACTTGTAAGGGAACTGAATTCACCAGAGCAAAACAGGAGGGGTAAGTTAGGTCTTAATGTGTAAAACCACGTGCCCGCAGCAGGAGCTCAGTAGGAACCTGCCACAGACTGGTAACATGAATGTGAGGTTTTCATTCCTTAGTGTTAACTTGACAAAATGTTCTTTTTTTTCCTTCTGTTCCCTCCACCCTTTACTTACTGTCCGTAGTTCTTCCTCGGCAATCAGGTACAGTGTGCCTTGCAACTTTCTCCTCCTCAGTGGAAGTGGGCTGTGTAGCTCCTGCTGCCTGATCTGTGCTGTGGGGACAGGGCCTCCTCGAGCATGCCTGGGTCACCGCTGGTGGTCTTACCAAGTGGAGGGAAGTGCGTGCTGGGCTGGTGTGGTAGTCCAGGTCTTGGCTTTTTTTTTTTTTTTTTTTTTTTTTTTTAAGATGAAATTTGACATTCAAAATTAAATTGACTGAGGACATGATACTGTGCTAGACTGAGTTATAAATAATATCGTTCAGAGGAAATTGAGACTGTGGCATCGATCCAGTTCTGAAAAGTGCCTCATCTCATACTTCTTTCTACATTGGAAGCCAGAATACCAGACAACAGTGCTGATTTCTGTCTGTCAGACTCTTTTTAACAGTCAACAAACATTTTATAATGTACACTGAGGCAACAGATCTTGGGATCCTTACGCACTCAGTGTCTTTAAATAGATTATTGTTTGTGTTACACTCGCATTGCATTTTATAATCAGAAGGTCCATGGTGTGGGGCTCACAGTGGCCAATGCCTATAGCTTGCCGCCCATGGCCAGACAGCTAAACTCTGATGGGATTGAGTCAGACTTGCCGAAACGTTGAATGCCTGTTCCACTTGGTAACTCTAACCTTCTAGATCTTTTGGAGGGCTCTGGGGTCCTTTGTCTTCAAATGGAAGGAAGTTGCATGGGTCAGGTCTGCTTTGTTATATGAAATTAAAAACACTACAAGTTGTTTGGCAGCCCCAGTCCGTTCTGGGCACTGCAGTAATCACTGACAACTGTCAGACTCTGAGCCATGGAAGGTCAGAGGATAGAAAGAAACTAACAGTGAAAACTGGAACTTGCTGGGAATGAACCGTTGCATGAGAAAGACAAGGGCACCTGCGGGGCACGCCATTTGTGAGGACAGCATGCGGCTGAGCAGTGCTGACGTCCTCTCCTGCCCGCGGACCAGCAGCGTGACAGAGGCGGTGGCTCAGTGTGGGGGCAGAACTTCACTTTCTGCAAGGCCCTGAAGCCTCGCTCATGTCAGAGCCATTGCAAGAGCCAATGTTGCCGTGAGGGGTTTTCCCTTGAAGAGAAGGAACCCATCGCCCCCTGTGACTGTGCCAGGTTCTTGGCCCACTCTGCCCGGCTCCGTCTGGCCTGCCAGCCCACGTTTCCAGAGCCGCCACTGCCCCTCTGCCACTCCTCACGATGCCTGGCTTCCCCCGCCACTCTGGCTGCCAATTTGATCAAGCCTCCTTTCCCCCACAGCTGCACAGAAGCACTTTAGAGTCTTTCAGGGAGAGCCTCCCAGTAAGAACGTAAAGAGGGGAAATAATGAAATAATAACAAATAAAGAACAGGGCCCAGCAATGAAAAAATGAAGCATGCCTGGGAGTTCCTTCCTGATTTGGAAGGACTGTGGAAGACGAATCAACCTTACTTCTTTCCTCTCCTTATACCCCAGAGGAAACCCAACAGTGGCTTGGCCACTGCTCCCAGGTCTGGCTGCGACCGGGTCGCAGCCCTGCAGAGGTGGTTTACTCATTGGGCGCAGCGTCCCCGGGAGGCTCCCGCAGAGACCGAGGGGCAGCTTCCTTCCCGGGGCGGGACAGTCCTCCTCACAACCCGGCCCACCTCAGTGCACTGCACGCCACTGCTGTTGCTGTCGTCACTATAGTCACGCTGCACAAACCTTTAAAACTTGTGATGATGAAAGATGTGGGGAAAGTTATGGTCCATTATAACTTTGAGAATCCTACTTAAGCGACTAGCCCTTCTCTCTTCCCTCTCTCTCCCCAAACCTTCTCTTTGAATTAAATACTTGTAGGAATTCTATTTCTCCAATGCTTGGTTTTGGTTTGGGGGTCTCAGCATGGCTTTCTTTTAACTCTTTATTTTGGGAAGAAGGTAATTTATACAGTGGGAAACTCAGTGTTAATGAGTGAGAAGTAGGAATGTTAAGGCAAGGAAAATAACAAATTCAGAAACCTTACTTAACATCCCAAAATGAATAATTAAATGCTGTTTATAATCAATTTGGTAGATTAAATTTTTGATTTCTTTAATTTTTGATTTCCTTGATTTTTAACTAAGTTTCAGTGTACTGTAATCATTTGTTAAGCTGAAGAAATTTCTGCTGGTGACATCACAATTGGAGAATACTTAGGGTATAATGCAAAAAATCAAATTTCCTTCAGAGCTTGTATTAATGGTGCTTCGCAAGGTTTTCCTTAAGCCTGTCGTTTTTAGAGCACACTGTATTCAGAGGTTGACATCAGCCTTTTCTTTCATAAAAACAAGTTAGCGTGACAGCGGTGGGTGTGAATTTGGGGAGAGCCTTTGAACGATAGTGAGTGAGTGTGCTCTCTGTCCTGCGCCCGCCCCTCCCTCTGGGTGCGGAGGTGGGGGTGACGGGAAAGTTAACTTCATTGGGAAGGTAGATCCAGAACCTCATCTTCAGCTTGATGGCTTGGCTCTTCCGAATTTTAAATTCCTTCCTTGTGAAAACTGCAAAAGAGCTAAAAATGCCCGCCCAGAACTGCCGAGCGGCCCCTCTGAATACAGTCTGCTCGGGAAGGAGGGCTGCCGACCCGGCTGGACCCAGGCTGCTCACCGCTGTCCTCTTCGCCCCGCAGTTCGGGGACTCCCAGCAGCTGCGGCTGGTCCGCATCCTGCGCAGCACGGTGATGGTGCGCGTCGGAGGAGGCTGGATGGCGCTGGACGAGTTCCTGGTGAAGAACGACCCCTGCCGAGGTAGGGACGGGCGGGGCACGGTGGTGGGCCCCTGCACAGCCCGGTGCGGGCGGGCGTGGGCGGGTTGGTGTGTGGGGGTGACGCTCACCGCCCGGATGCCGTCCGCCGGCGCAGGGTAGGACGTGCGGTGCCAGCCGAGACCAGGTTGAGGAGGGAGGCAGGAGAGGTTGACGTGGTCAGAGGAGACAGTTGGAGGAACACAGTAAGGAAAGTGAGAAGCGAATGGGTGGTGGTGAGTGTCCAGTTTGCGGTTAGCACTCACCCCTCGCTCCTGGGAGGGCTCCCCGACCCTTGGCGGTCACTCCTGTGAGCGAGACTTGGGTGTTGAGCGCCGCCACGAGAAGAACTGGGGCGCTCCCTGACCACAGAGGAGAAAGAACACCTAGCGGTGGCCCCCATGCTGACCACCCGAGCAAGGCCCTGCAGCGTCCACGCTGAACATTGGGAAGGCTGGCACAGCGGCCCAAGCAAGAGGGAGCAGCAGGCTCGTGTGAGCAGCGGCAGCCGCAGCCGGCGTGTGGGGTCAGCGGGGGCAGAGGCCAGTTTGAGTCACTGCATCGCCCTCGGCTGTGCCGGGGCTTTTTCCTGTTGGAGAGCTGTGTGCGAATCAGGAGGTTCCTGCAGCCTGCCAGTTTGTCTTTCCTGACCGGTTTCTGTGTTTCCTGCTCTCTGGTTTTTGTGAGTGTGTGTGTGTATGTTTATTTTTCTTTTCCTAGTTCACCATCCTGGGAATAAAATAAAGCGCTCTGATTCCAGTTCTTCGATTTCCAGTCAGTCTCCCATAGGTTGGCTTTTAAGCTTTGTCCCGTTTTCCACGCCTGCCTGTTGAGAATGGCTTTGCTTCTTCAACAGCAGCAGTCTTGGCTCTGTGGTATTGCTGCCTTTATGAATGCATTGTCACAGCCAAATCTTGACTTGTCTAAGTTGGCAGAACATAAAATACCCTTGTTGAAACAGTACCTACTAGAATTTGTTGTTTCTATTTAATTAACAAATTACATAGTTTTTTTTCTGTGCCACACACTGTTATACATGCTATATAAAAACACATTTTCACCTCAGCAAGGTGTTCATACCCTTAACAGCCCCATTTTACAGAATAGGGACTTGGAAGCATAAGAAAATGCAATAGCTTGCCTGAGGATAGGCAGCTGTAAAGGACAGGCTGTAGGCACAAGCAGAGGCAGGACTCAGCAGCCTGCTCCCCAAATTCAGATGTGTCCATAACTCATCCCATTGATCTATTTTTTATTATAATAGTTTATTTTTGCATCATTTTTGCCTTTTTCCATCTCAGTTGTAATCCCCGTGGGCTTCCCATCACCAGTTCACCCATGTGCCATCACCCTAGTCCCATGCACTGCCCCCCATTTTGATCCCACTCCCCACTCCACCATTCCATTTATTTTAAGTCATTCTGCATTCATTCATTCCAGTGAACCACAGCAGTGATTTCTGTTAAGCATCCCTTTTAAAACTAATAATTTTGTAAACCGCTGTTCTGAAAAACTTGAAGGATGTTCAGTTTTTTAAATCAAAGTCCTATTTTCATTGCTTTAAATGAGAAAGCAATACATGTAATTCTAACTGTCCCTGAGTAAAGTGTATTTCCTTTCCAAACTGATTGATAAGACTTCATTTCCCTGTCATGTCTGATGGTCTAAACAAAAAGAAGAGAAGGTGCATGTCAAATTGGGGTCTGGGGTGCCTGTCCGCTGCCTGCCCCACCTGCTCTGTTCACGACAGCAGCATGCTCTGGCCAGGGGGCACACTGCTTGCCCTGTCTGTCTTCAGATGTGAAGTCAGAACCTGGGGGAAGCGTAGGGGCCTTCTAGTAGCCATTTTCCCATGGAACATGGTAGACTTGGACCCCTTGGAGCACACAAGGCAAGGAGCGTGGCTCTCCTCTCCAGAGCACCTCCCAGGTTAGGTCCGCTGACTGCACAGTCAGGAACGCCTCTGGGGGAGCTACTTCCAGGGGAATAGAAGATTGTGCCAGGAGGGGAACACTTAAGGGCTGGCATGAGTGTCATAGGCGACCTGGAAGGCCATGAGCATCTCAAACACAAAAGTTCCTTGAAGCTATCTAGGGCTCTAAGGGGATTGCCGCAGCTTCTAGAAGTACCATTTAGGTAGGTTCTGTACCCATTAGTGTTGGGGTTCCTTGGCTGCCTGGGCCCCAGAGGGCGTTGTCCTGAGGATAGCACACAATTTAGGATGAAGGGTCAATAGTGGTATGCACAGGTGCAAAGGGTGTCAGATGTTACAAACTGCACATCACAGGTTTCTTTACTGCATTTTTTTTTTAAGATTTATTTATGCAAATAGAACTGGGGTACAGGCCAGAGGTGCAAGGGTGGTAAGAGGATTCACCAAAGACAGAGAGGGGAGCAGAACAGGCAGATGACTGAAATACACTTTCTGAAGGGAACAGTGGGCAAGACGGGAGAGGTCTGCCGCACCGTGTGGGTCACCCCCAGACGGGGATTGAACTTGCGCTGCAGCAGCTGCGGCTAGCTTTGCAGTGCTGTGCTTCATTTAACCCGTTGCACCATCAGGGAGGGCCCTACTGCAGGATTTCTTTAAAAATTCTGATTGCCTTAGAACTGTCCCAAGGGGCAGAATGTAGCTGCAGTGTTTACTAAACTTCTAGTAGAAAACCCCTCAAAAACCTCATTTTGGGACATCTTCCTATATGCAGTCCCCATGAAAAGATTTTGAACCGTTTAGAGAAATCAGACTTATACTTAAAAACCAGTTCTAGGAAATGATAGGAGAAAGAAGGAGACCTGTTGGAAGCCTGTAACAGCCGTCCAGGATGAGCAGGTGCTTCATGAGCACCCCCTGACTGTGAGGGCGTGGGAAGGCTTGGGATTCTAGAAGCGGCATGAGGTAGAATCAACGGTGATGTCTCAGCGGTCCCGCAGGTGAGGTCCTGACATCTAGGAGTGGCTGGGCTGGGAGCAGAAGGATCAGGCTTGGCCCCCGACACACTGAAATCTGGGGGAGGAGCTCAGCCCCAGGTTGGGAGCCCCAGAGGGGGAACAGGGCTGCAGGCAGATCCCAGGGGAACGCCAGTGTTGAAGTAGAGACAGAAAGAGAAGTTGGGGAGAAGGAGGAAGAGAGGGGAGCGGCCGCCATGGGTGGAGCCCAGGAGTAGTTTCTGGAAGAGCAGTTAGTAGTCCCGCTCCGTTCCCTGACTCCAGCACAGAGAGGTCTTCACATACCACATTGGCAGGTTTTTACCTGCACACAGATACACACACACAGAGTCTTTCAATACGGTGAGCATTAGCCAGAGTGAAATAAATTGAATATACTCATACATTCTTTTGGAGTCTATACAGTGGCACAGAACTTTGGAGAGAGTTGACATGTATCAAAACCTTGAATGTACATCCTCTCCTCCCAGCAGATCCACTTACTGAAATGTGTCCTTAGGAAATCATCACAGATACGCACAAAAACTTTTTACAAGTAGTTTGTCCCATAATATTTTGCGGCTTGTTAAAATCATGTGAGACATACAGATCATGGAGGAATGTTCCTGATATGTGTGTATGTATATGTAAAACAAGTATGAGCTTGTATTAGAGAAGGAGGAAAGCACTGCAGTCCAGAAAATGAGTGAGTAGGAAACCGAGGTCCAAGGGGTGACCCTGAGGCTCATGTTCTGTCAGAAGAAGGAGACTGTCCGTGGCCATCGGTCACAGACCATTCTCCAGCAGGAGACTGGAGACCAGCAGTCCCCTATGAGAGCCCAAGGAGGCCGGGGCAGCGCCCCCCAGGGGGCAGCAGGGCCCAGGCTGTGCGCCTCAAGCTTTGATGTTCCAGTAAGTCCATTTAACCTGACACTTGGATGCATTTGACAACATTATATATTGATGATCTGGATTTGATTTAGAAATTAGAACCACTCAGCTTGGACCACTGCTACCTGAATTAAAATCTGATTCTATCAAGATTCCCCAAACTCCTTGAGCACATGTAGGGCTGGGTAGAAGAGAGTAGACACAGTTACCTAAAATCTCCTAAGCTTATAGTTTCTGGGCAAGGTAAACATTCTGGAATAGAAAGAGCATGGCATTTGTTTATCAGGCTCCCTTTTCCCAGGACTCTCCAGCAGTTCCATTTGTTTACCTCTGTCTAGACTATCCTTAGCGTGAGCAGTGTGGGTGGATGTGGAGGTAGAAGGTTGTACAGGATAGCGCCTTCCAGGGTGAGGGTATCTGTGAAGGGACATGCTCCAGAGGAACCCTTTCTTTTAAATTAGTAGTGTCTTTCGCATTTCACATTTATGTTGGCTGTGCTGGGTCTCTTCTAACCAAATCAAACTGAAGTCCTGTTCTGATGGCGCAGAGGGTCAAAGGGCAGCTCCTGGTGGCCTGCAGCGCTGCGTCCAGCTTCCTGGCACGAGGCCTCTCGCCCCTCACTCCGCACAGCTGCCTCTGGCTCTCAGGCTTTGGCCTCACAGGCTCTCACTGGCATGTTCTGGATCTTTCTCTCTCTCCTGCCACATGTTTACTTCATGATTCTGTCGTGATCTCCTGTCCTCAGTCCTACACCCCTTTCTGTATGGTGGTTGCAGACTGAATTTAAGTACAGGAGTCGGGTGTGACTGGTGTTTCTCCACTGTTTCATTACCACAGACCTATAAACATTGAGCAAAAAGTACACATGTACTATGAGAGAGAAAAGAGGGGTTTGGGCATGACCTCAGCAGTCTGTGAACTGCTGCATCTGCTTTTCCCTGACCGGTTACAGCGTGCTTGCCCCAGGGGATAGTGGCAAGGCCAGACCAGGACAGCAAAAGGGTGTGGGGGTTTGGACACAGCGCCTCCTTTATCGTGGCAAACCAAGGGGCTTGGTACTGGATGGCTGCCCTGGGTCAGACTGCTGACAAGGTTGATAGTCATGAACGGGAAGCCTGTTTCAAAGAAAGCGTAGAGATACTAGACCTGTAACTTATGTAGCTGTTATCATGGGATCAAGCAGCTGTATGGCCATCAAAGATAAATTTTTTAAGGTTAACTTATATCGTGTGTGTGTGTGTGTGTGCGTGTGCGTGTGTGTGTTTATTGCCTTTTTAGCACGAGGCAGAACTAACATCGAACTTCGAGAGAAATTCATCCTCCCAGAAGGGGCTTCGCAGGGAATGACACCTTTCCGGTCACGCGGGCGAAGATCGAAGCCATCCTCTCGGGCAGCTTCCCCTACCCGCTCCAGCTCAAGTGCCAGTCAGAGTAACCACAGCTGTACGTCCATGCCGTCTTCTCCAGCCACCCCAGCCAGTGGTACCAAGGTATGGAGAGCCTCCAGTCTGGTCTTGCCCACCCCCTCTGCAGTCTAGCCATTGGAAGACCTCACTGACATGACTGAAGACATGCAGACTAAGCTCTACCTAGAGCGGGCTGACCAGGCCCTGCTGGCCACAGACACAGGACCTTTAAAGATGACTAGAAAGGACTTTTATTAAAATATGTCCTCAGGTCCTTCAGTCAAAAATGCTTCTTTCTACCCATTCCCAGAGTGCTTATGAGCCCATCCACACTCGCTGACTTTTGAAAATCCAGGCACTGTCTGTGCAGCCAGAGCTGCGGAGACAGTTGTTGTAATGGTGGCTATGTAGGGGAGTGACTCTCTGCCTGGTGTCTTCGCCCTGTTGGACTGATGTGCCTTTTATTTTGTTTTCTGTTTCTTTAAAATGTAGTGTCTCCTATTGATGTTCTTATGTTCTCGATTTGCTCCCTTTCTGTCCACTTTCACTTGTTCCCGTCCTTCCCGTTGGCTCCATTTCACAGACTCCACTTCAGTCCTCTCGCTGTTATGACAAACCCTGGTTGGTAAACAGTAAAGCTGGCACCCCTGTCAGGGACAGCCAGTGTCCCGACCTCCATCTGTCCAGCCCCGAGGTAGAGTATGGCTTTGCTGGCTAAGGCCACAGTCAAGACAAGGCCCTTGCTAATGCCAAGAACTTAACGGGCTCCTGTTCTGGACACGAGTCCTTGCTCTTTTCTATCCTTGTGGTGCTTTGCTCTCACAGCTGATTCAACTAATCAAGTGTTTTTCAGGGGTTTCTAACTCGGATTCACCAAAATTGGAGATAACTAAGAAATGCCTCAAAGTGGATTGTTTAACAATCTTTAGCATGATATTTGTTTAGTGTGATAAACAGTGGTCATTGCTGGCGATATGTTTATCATATTGTTAATAATCAGTCCTCTTAGAGTCTCCAAATGTCAGTTACACAGACGAGTTATGAACACTTGAAATTCAGCTCCAGTGCATGTGTTCAACAATGTTCTATCTTTGCTCAGAACACAAGAGTGGCTGGCACCCCCACCCAGAGCCGCACCCCACTTAGCACACAGTGGCCCAGGGAGTGGGTGCTGCCCACCTCGGCCAGGCACAGTACCCGTGAACACTGCTTGGAGGCTCACACTCGCTGGGGTTTCTACAGCCTTGATTCGCATACACAAGCCAGCATTAAGCATGTTCAAGCACAGTGATTAAACCACCGAGCACCCTGGAAGAGCCATGTGTCTCCAGAACAAACCTGGGCTCACAGCGTGTGTGGTAGCAGCCCCATCTCCACCCTAGCTCCTGCGGGGAAACACTGGTTTCTTGTGCCTCGAAAGATAGTTTCACCTTCAGGCATGTAAAGCAGGAGGCGCAAGCAGCCAGGGCCTGCCGGTGGCCTGAGACAGCACCAGCTCAGAAAGAGGTGCGCTTCACGGCGCCCCCGGGCCGCCGCCGGCCCCCGGAGCCCAAGCCCACTGTGAGTCTTGCTTTTCTTCCTGCACGATGGCTCCAGTTTCATGACTCTCAAAAGTTGTAAATGTTTTCATTATGAAGTGCCAATTTCCATAGGATTCTGACAGGTCAGCCTTTGTTTTATCTTAAGGCTTTGGTTCTATTGCACTGTGAGGCCTCGCCTCCCCTTAGCCGCTGGCGGCCTGTGGCCAGCCATGCCCAGCTGGTGAGGCCTCCCCAGCAGCAGTGCTCACGATGGAAGTTGCTGAAACTGGACTCTGCCGCCTTTGGAGGCCGGGGGCTTGTGCTCGGGCGTTCGTCCCTTTCTGTCGCAGTAGCTCTTTCTGTACAAATTAAAGAAGTTCAAGAAACATAATGAAATGGGTTGCTTTACTTTGCTATTTATATAAACATCTTAAAGGTCCTGGAAAACAGTAGATTTCAAAGAAAAATTAGAAAGTCATACTGGGCACAATTGATATACTCTTTCTCCGCATTGCCTGCTTCGGTCTCCAAAAAAAAAAACACTCAGCCAAGACACGTAGCTCCAACTGTAGCAGCAACAATTCTTCCCCAGTTTCAGACATGCCTCCCTGCACGCCATCTGTGCCTCGGCAAGGCTCTCCTAGGCCAGCTCCACACCAGTGCTGCACTGGGGCTGAGGGTGTAGTCATGCACAGTCACCCTGCTTTTAAGGAGTGTGCACTTGACTGCAGGAGACACAGGCAGCCAACAGCAGGTCACATGTTGGGTGCCAGTGGGTGCTGTGCCAGCAGATGCTGCAGGGGAAGAGAACTGGGGATTGCAAGTGGTGGAGTCTGGCTGTGGCCTCTGACAGGCCCTTTGGCCAAGTAGGCCCGAAGGATCAAGGGATGAGTCCCGCAGACATGCAGCCAGGGACTGCAAGGATAGTACAGCGGAGGTGGCGGAACGAGCGGGAGTGTAGTTCTGAGGGCAGAGGAGAAACGCAGGTGTTGATCAGGTCATTGGAGAGCCTCCCCCGAGCTGGGCTTCCTGCTCCCATCAGAACCTTGTCCCCAGCAGCACAGCCCGCTCATGGCACGTGGCTTGTCTGGTAGCGGTTCTGCACTCCTAATTACTCATCTGATCCAAAAGTTAGTACACCTGCCCGGAGGTGGAGATTGAGTGATATCTGGAGCTCCGTGTTTAACATTTGGGACTAGAAATCATATTGCAAATGTCTAGCCCCAAAACTTTAATACTTGGGAGTTACTTGCATTTTTTTCCTTTACTCATCTACCATACTTCTGTTCACTGCAATCATTATAGTCTTACTATTTGAGGATCTGTTTTCCCATTTCTAGTGAAAATTTGTAAGGTAGAAGTTATCGGAAGACAATCTGAACTTTTAAATTGGAACAGCAAAGCTTTAGTTTGGGAATCCTCAGACTACATGGCCTAGGATACTTTCAGTATGAATCTTTGTTTTCCCGGGCTTTTAATTTGCTTTTCAATCAATTACACATCAGGAAACCAAAGTGGACCTTTTAAAATTCAATTTCTATTAAAAGATTTTACCAAGTAAATATCCTTTTTATTTTTTCTTAAGGTTATCCCATCAACAGGCAGCAAATTGAAACGACCAACACCGACTTTTCATTCTAGTCGAACCTCCCTCACCGGTGACACTAGCAATAGTTCTTCCCCAGCCTCCACAGGTGCCAAAACCAACCGGGCAGGTAAGCGTCGGAGCCGGCCCCGCACTGGTGTGAGGGCTGAGGGAGTGGCGGGCTGGGAATCAAACTGCAGCCTGTCAGCAATGCTTCACTGCCCCCAACGCAAACAGACGGGTGATGCCCACAGAGAGACCAACGGGCTTTTGCTGACTTCTTTTGCTCCTGTTACAAAAACTGGCTCTAGCCTTGTCTACAGAGAGCAGATGCTTCCAGAGCCAAAGCTCCACCCTCTGCCACTCATCAGAAATGGTCAGATTTAAAAGGAAGAGCTTGCTGAAGAGCCCGTTTGGGGCAGCCATTTGCTAGTGGTTTTCCTAGCACCCCATGTTGAGGAAGTCAGGGAGCTTCACCTCTGTTCGCCTGTTGACGTGCCTTGTGGGAACCAAGAGATTTGGCTTCATTTCCTGGTGTTTCCCTTCACTTCTCCCCCTTCCCAGTCTGCCAGTGCCAAGACAACCGTGTGCCTGCTCAGCTCCACTGTGGAGGCACATCAGGTGCAGTGACGGTGAGAGGTGGTTCTCAGCCCTCAGCAGGCGGGATTCTCCCATAGAATCCCCAAGCCTGAGGGGGGCAGGGACTTCGGTGGAGATGAGGAAACCTGGGTCCAGAAAGTTCTGATTTGCCCCAAGTCACACAGCACATCAGATGGTCCCAGCTGCTGGTCACTTATTCTCTCCACATGCACTCCCACCTCCCTGCCTTGCCATCTCTGTTAAGTCTACTGTGCTATTCTTTAATTCCAGACCCCAAAAAGTCAGCCAGTCGCCCTGGGAGCCGGGCCGGCAGCCGGGCCGGCAGCCGGGCCAGCAGCCGGCGGGGAAGTGATGCCTCCGACTTTGACCTGCTGGAGACGCAGTCGGCCTGTTCAGACACGTCAGAGAGCAGCGCCACGGGGGCCCAGGGCTCCCGGAGAGGGCTCGGCAAGCCGTCCAAGATCCCGACCATGTCCAAGAAGACCACCACTGCCTCCCCCAGGACTCCGGGCCCCAAGCGGTAACACGGCACAAGCACCCCAGGCCTCCGTCCACTTTGAATCCTACTCCACACATTGGGTGTATATTTATTCTGAATGGGAGAAGTTATATTGTTAAAAGTGTAAAAGAATACTTGTGTTATGAAGCTGCCTTATTTTTTTTCTTTTTGTAAGTTACTATTTTCCTGTGAATATTTATGTAGATAAAATTTGCCTCCTGGTACCCCTGTGATGGATGGGGCCCAGAAATGAAATATTTGGGAAAAAAAAAAAAACACAAATGAAAAGGTCAAAGTACAAATGTGTATTAAAAAAAGAAAAGCCTCTAAGTAGGGTTTCTGTGTGGTGCAGGGTTGTAAACCTGCTTTATCTTTTAGGATTATTCCTAAATACATTTTCTTTATAAATTTGACTTGCTATCTCAGCAAGATAAATTATATTTAAAAAGAAAAAAAAAAGACTCCTGCAGTGTTTAAGGAACTTTTTTTTTTTTTAATTTGTAAATCACAGACACCTCAACTAGCAAGAACCGAGGGGAGGGCATCTATAATTGCTTTTTCCATTGTTTTTAATGTTGTGTGATTTTAGCTAAAGAGAGGGAACCTCATCTAGGTAACATTTGCACATGATACAGCAAAAGGGGTTCATTGCAATACTGTCTTTGAATACTGTTTCAGTACTGGGTGTTTAAAGGACAAATAGCTGCTAGAATTCAGGGGTAAATGTAACTGTTTCAAAAAATGTTCAGAACATTGGGGTTTTTAAGAGTCCTGGTTTGTAACTTTCCAGCCTGGCTACCAATAACTACTATGCCCACCGGTCCCCTCGGTAGGGGGCTCCCTGGTGGCATTGTGAATTACAGATTTGTTTATCTGCATTTTTTGCTATTTATTTAAATGGTCGATCAACTTCCCACAAACTGAGGAATGAATTCCATCCATGAGCCTGTTCTGAAAATGTGGACACGAGACAACACTTGCTCATCCTTTCAAGGAGTTCACCAGCACACTCGTTAACAAGACCCGTTTGCTTCCGTCTTTTGTGCGTGACAGAGTCAACTGACCAAGTGACCATGAAGAGGGGCTGTCTGGGGCTCCTGTTTTTTAGCTGCTGTTTCTCTTCAGCTCCGACCATGTTGCTGTGTGATTATCTCAATTGGTTTTAATTGAGGCAGAAACTGAAGCTCTACCAATGAACTGTTTAAAAACAAGACACACTTTTGTATTAAAATTGCTTGCAGTAACAAATATTTTGTATTCCCTGATTTTTCTTCTCATTACCTTATATAGAACAAGTCTCTGTGGGGTATAGTTGTGTGTTAGGTACTTAAATACATTATTCAAGTCAGAATATCTTCATGGATAAATTATGAAGCAAATTAATATTTTCTTTATCACTGCTAAATTTACAAAGCAACAAGAAAAGGTTGTCAACAAGTCTATCTGGTGTCATCCCCTTAAACAATTTTTCTTACAGATTTATTCATATATGCATACAAGAACTGGGGTACAGGCCAGAGGTGCAGGGGATGAGAGGATTCACCAAAGACATAGTGGGAGCAGTACAGGCAGATTGACTGAAATACACTGCTGAGGGGAGCAGCGAGTGAGATAGGAAAGGTCTGCTGCACCATGTGGGTCACCTCCCTCACCAGGGATCGAACTTGTAAGGCAATGACTGTGAATAGCTTCATAGTGCTGCACTTTAACCCTTTGAGCCACCAGGAAGATTAGGGGTTTGAGAAAAATGGAACCAGTTTCCCAATTCAAGTAGAAGAATACTGAAATTTCTTTTAAAGACAGAATTTCAGAGGTGGAGGCAAAATTGGCCACAGATAAAGTTTCTTTGTTTTACAGATGAAAGAACTGAAACAGGAAAGGAGAAGGGGATGATTTGCCTGAAGTCACAGAATGAATAAAGGGCAAAAGACCTTGAGTCTAATCTGTTGACTCCCTATTCAACTCTGACACTCCAGCCCACACTGATTTATAGTAATTAAAACAGCCAGATATTAACTAATTTAACAGCAGGAAATAGACTCGAGAACTTGAGATTAAGGGGGTTTAAGACAGGCCTGTGTTTTGATCATTAGGCCATACCCTTGAGATGCCAGGGCTTGGTAAAATGTTTGACACCACGTGTCCAGGTTAAAGGAACCTGCAGCCTGTGAATTCTGATGGAAGTGTTTACTTTATTCTTCCTGGAATTGAGTGAATCGGGCAGCCAGAATTTTGTGTTGCATGGTGTTTTCATCGAAACTTTCTACCCCCTTTCCGCCTCCAGCAGCAAAAGCATACTGAAAGCAGTTTATAGGTCTGGACCGTGGTCATTTGTTTTCACTTGTAATGCAGGCTTCCCTCTTGCCTTTTGCCACAAAGTTCAGCTAGCTGTGGCATCTGCACATTCATTAACACCTCATGCAAGACCATATAAAAAATACAGGGATGCCAGAAAAAAAAGGTTACAATTAACAGCCCTGTGATATATTTGATAAGCAAGTACTGCAAATTTGGTGTCTGCCGGGTAGAGGGTGAATGTAAGTGCTTGGGCCTTAAATGATGTAGTAAACGCAGCCTACAGGTATCAAGTGCTTACCACCCCCAGTCACTGCACTAAGTCCTCTTGATACGCTCCCACTTAACCTCCATCTCCAGTGTACACTTCTGAACCCCATGTATAGATGACAGTGGCCTGGAGTAATGAGCCCAAGGTCACAGAGGTGCCAGTGGCTGGAAATCCCTGGCTTGAGATTGCTCTCTCCAGGAAACCCCCATCTCTGCTCCCCCAGTTCTGCAGTGCCAGGTTTCACTCGCATTTCGCCTGCCCCAACTTCCTCTGCCCTCCCAGGCACTCTCAGGCCCTTTGTTCAAGCAGGGCTGTCACTCTGCCTTTGGAGAGGACTAGAGTGGGGGCCCGCTCAGGACCAGGTGGGCTGCCTCTCGGGCTGGGGGCACAGCACAGGGCAGCCCACGTGGTTTACGGCTCACTGAAAGACCAGCTTTCTCCACCTGGCCTAACCTGAGAGACATGATTCTATCATTGTAAGAACTGTCCAGCACTGGGCTGCTTGCAGTGCAGCTGGAGCCCAGCATGCTCCATGCCAACCTGAGGCTTACAGGCCAGATGTGGGGCCCCTAGTCACGTGGCAGGGACTCAATAGAGGTTGCCAGTGTCCAGGGACCCGGAGAGCCTCCTGGAGAGGACAGGACTCAAGGGACACACCATGAGGGCCCCAACCTCTGCAGAGACACCAGCCCTGTGGTTCAACCTCCTAGCAGCTTCCTCTGCCTCCACCCATCACCACCAGAGGATCACTGTCATCGCTCCCCATCACTGTCCTGCTCCAACCGCAGGTCCTGACTCCAGGCTCCCTCCCTCCAGTGGTATTTCCCTCTGTAGCCAGGCTCTGGTCTTGCCTTGGGCACCTTCAACAGCTAAGCTGCGACATCATTATTCAAGTTTACATGTGTGGAAAATGACTTAGATAAAAGGCAAGTTAGGCATGGATTTAAGGCACAATAGACAGTTGTGTAAACGTTGATATAAAAAGTTTTATGTTATTTGGGGGGGATAAAAGGCTTCCTGTTTTTTTAAGTTTGAAATGATCATGCAAATATTTAATTTTGTTGGACTTCTTAATTGATATTGACATTTGTCTTGAGTCCACTTCAGAGCATTGTAATTATTACTGTCCAGAGTCCTCATCTAACCTTCCCAGAGGTCCTTTGTAGTCCATCCCTTACCAGCCCTCCCATCTCAACATACCATTTGCCCACAGGCTCTCCAGGCTCCACTGACCCGCTCCCCTGCAGGAACTCACCTACCTGCTCCAGGCCAGCTGCACAGTGTGAGGCCTGGGAGAGGTCATGTAACCCCTGTTGTGTTAAAGGGTTAAAGTACTGTGTTGTGCTCAGTCTCCTTAACTATTCAGGGAATGGGAGGAAGGGGCTTAAATAGTATTTACCCCTTAACAATGTTTGATCATTATGGAATTGATAGCACAGTGTTAATTGTCACCGATCCTTATTAATGTCCCCAGTTCTCGGGCCTTTGACACAAGCTATTTCTTCTGCCTGGAAAACTTTCTTTCCCTGACTTCTCCTGTCTTCCCAGGCTAGATCCTCACAGCCTTCCAGCTCAGTCTGGTTGTCACTTCCTCAGAGGGTGGCACCTTAATCATAAATGAATAAAGAGATTGTCTAGGAAGGGCAGAGAGCTGAGTCAATCAGGAGTTTCTGTGAGAAATTTTTTCTAGCGAGTCACTAAGGGGTGAGAGCATTAAAATACACAAAGATGGTTCCCTGGATGGGAAAGGGCCCCAGGGCCCTGGACTCCTCCCTGTTGGAGGCCAGTGCGCCTCTCCTGGTGCATCAGCACTGGGCTCCCAGAGGGCCACTGGAGCAGCTGAGACAGCCCACTTCAGGCGCTGCCTGGGAACTTAGCGGTGGGCTCACCCAAGCAGCCACCGAGCAGGTTCCCAAGGTGGGAAGCACCGGGAAGGCACTGGCAGGCCAGCGAGGACCTGTGGTGACAGAGAATCCGGCAGGGCGGCTGCTGGCAAGAAATGGGTCCCACTCGCGGGACACGGTTGGCACCCGCGGTGCCCCGCCACACAAGGTCATGCAGCGTTTGAGTCGTAGGGCGACACGCCAAGCACCCAGGCATGACAGCCAGGCATTCAAACTAACACTCCCGACCAACCGCGGTGGATGGAGGAAGCACAAACACACACCCCACCTCTGCACAGGTTCCTGCTTCCAGGAGCAGCCATACCTTGGTGACCGAGTTCAAGCCACCAAGGCCAATATTTGACGCGGCCAGTAGCTGGAGGGGAGCCCAAGACGTCCCTGGCGACCACATCCTGTCCCACCACCCACCATCAGATCGCATCTCGGGACTGTGAACACCTAACCCAAAGCCGCTTCCACCGCGCGTCCCGCCCCTGCACCCCATTGGTTAGGCCCGAAGGGGGCGGAACCCGACGGCTGGCTCCGGACCGAAGGGCGGCTGGCGCAGCTGGCCGCACAGACGGCCAGTCCCGCGGGGCACGCGCTGGCCAGTGCGCTCGTCCGCGAGGGCAGACGGACGGC